CTTCTGTGGAGGGTTTCGGTAGGAATCCTCCTGTGGAGGATCTCACTGTGAACCCTTCTTGTGGGGGCTTTCAATCGGAATCCTTCCAGAGCTGAGGGCAGATGATGCCACGTCGGACTTTTTTTTCGCCGCCCCCCCCCCCCCCCCGCGGAGGTGAGGAGGGCACCTTTTGCATTGTGTGCTGTTTTCAATCTTGGTGTACTTTGCGGCAGCACAATGTTGATCTTTCATTGGTCGTGCGGCGAGTTAAAAATCATGCCCCCCCTCTTCCCCCTCCTCTTCCTCCTCCTCTTCTTCCTCCTCCCCCTTCTTCTCCAGAATCGAGCTTTTTGCTTCTCCTGCACCCTCCCGAATACATAAATAAAAAAGGGAGGCGGCATCATGTTGGTTTGCGTTTGTTGCTTATCTGCTTTTTCCCCACATGTTTCGTGGGGTTATGGTTTCGTCTCACCCGCGTTTCTCCTCCTCCTTCTCCTCCTCCTCCTTTTCCCTCTCCTCGCACACAGAGGCACACATACATACAGAAACAGTAAACGCACACACACACACACACTGACAACACCAGTGCGCGCCTGGCGTGTTCACCGCATCACACAGCCAAGACGCATGCACAACATACTGGGCACCCACATGAGACACACCAGACGCACGCAACACAAACACTAGCGCACCCCTGACGTGTTGACTGCATCATACATGGGGTGCGCAGGGGGTGGTCTCCGAGCGCGGCCGCTATCCACGACACTAAGGCAACGCCTAGCACGGTGCGCAGGGGGTGGTCTTTCAGCGCGGCCGCTATCCATTGTCGCAAAGCCTAGCAGGCGAGGCACTTTCTGGACACCATAGGGGGTGCGCAGGGGGTGGTCTCCCAGCGCGGCCGCTGTCCACGACACTGTCGCACAGCCTAGCAGGCGTGGCACTTTCACGACACCATAGGGGGTGCGCAGGGGGTGTTCTCTCAGCGCGGCCGCTATCCACGACACTGTAGTCAAGCCTAGCAGGCGTGGCACCTTCTGGACACCATAGGGAGTGCGCAGGGGGTGGTCTCTCAGCGCGGCCGCTGTCCACGACACTGTCGCAAAGCCTAGCAGGCGTGGAAGTTTCACGACACCATCGGGGGTGCGCAGGGGGGGGTCTCTCAGCGCGGCCGCTGTCCACGACACTGCCGCAAAGCCTAGCAGGCGTAGCACTTTCTGGACACCATAGGGGGTGCGCAGGGGGTGGTCTCTCAGCGCGGCCGCTATCCACGACACTGTAGCAAAGCCTAGCATGCGCGGCACTTCACGACACCATAGGGGGTGCGCAGGGGGTGGTCTCTCAGCGCGGCCGCTACCCACGACATTGACGCAAAGCCTAGCAGGCGTGGCACTTTCTGGACAACCTACGGGGGTGCGCAGGGGATGGTCTCTCAGCGCGGCCGCTGTCCACGACATTGCCGCAAAGCCTAGGAGGCGTAGTAGCTTCACGACACCATAGGGGGTGCGCAGGGGGTGTTCTCTCAGCGCGGCCGCTGTCCACGACACTGTCGCAAAGCCTAGCAGGCGTGGCACTTCCTGGACACCATAGGGGTTGCGCAGGGGGTGGTCTCTCAGCGCGGCTGCTATCCACGACACTGCCGCAAAGCCTAGCAGGCGTGGCACCTTCTGGACACCACAGGAAGTGCGCAGGGGGTGGTCTCTCAGCGCGGCCGCTGTCCACGACAATGTAGCAAAGCCTAGCATGCGCGGCACTTGCTGGACACCATAGGGGGTGCGCAGGGGCTGGTCTCTCAGCGCGGCCGCTGTCCACGACAATGTAGCAAAGCCTAGCAGGAGTAGCACTTTCACGACACCATAGGGGGTGCGCAGGGGGTGTTCTCTCAGCGCGGCCGCTATCCACGACACTGCCGCAAAGCCTAGCAGTCGTGGCACTTTCTGGACAACCTATGGGGGTGCGCAGGGGGTGGTCTCTCAGCGCGGCCGCTGTCCACGACACTGTCGCAAAGCCTAGCATGCGCGGCACTTGCTGGACACCATACGGGGGTGCGCAGGGGCTGGTCTCTCAGCGCGGCCGCTGTCCACGACACTGTCGCAAAGCCTAGGTGGCGTAGCAGCTTCACGACACCATAGGGGGTGCGCAGGGGGTGTTCTCTCAGCGCGGCCGCTGTCCACGACACTGTCGCAAAGCCTAGCAGGCGTGGCACTTTCTGGACACCACAGGGGGTGCGCAGGGGCTGGTCTCTCAGCGCGGCTGCTATCCACGACACTGTAGCAAAGCCACGTAGGCGTGGCACTTTCTGGACACCATAGGGAGTGTTCAGGGGGTGGTCTCTCAGCGCGGCCGCTATCCACGACACTGTCGCAAAGGCTAGCAGGCGTAGCGCTTTCACAACACCATCGGGGGTGCGCAGGGGGTGGTCTCTCAGCGAGGCTGCTATCCACGACACTGCCGCAAAGCCTAGCAGGCGTAGCGCTTTCACGACACCATCGGGGGTGCGCAGGGGATGGTCTCTCAGCGCGGCCGCTATCCACGACACTGTCGCAAAGCCTAGCATGCGCGGCACTTGCTGGACACCATAGGGGTTGCGCAGGGGGGGGTCTCTCAGCGCGGCTGCTATCCACGACACTGTCGCAAAGCCTAGCAGGCGTGGCACCTTCTGGACACCACAGGGGGTGCGCAGAGGGTGGTCTCTCTCTCAGCGCGGCCGCTATCCGTGCCGGTCGACCAGGGCATAGCAGGCGTAGCATATTCTCGACACCAAAGGGGTGCGCAGGGCGTGGTTTCTGAGCGCGGCCACTATCCGAGCCGATCGTCCAGGGCATAGCAGGCGTAGGATATTCTCGACGCCATTCGGGGTGCGCAGGGGATGGTCTCTGAGCGCGGCCGCTATCCGAGCCGGTCGTCCAGGGCATAGCAGGCATGACATATTCTCGACACCATATGGGGGGGCGCAGGGCGTGGTCTCCGAGCGCGGCCGCTATCCGAGCTGGTCGTCCAGGGCATGGCAGGCGTGGCGTTTTCTCGATGCCGTAAGGGGGGTTGCAGGTCGTGGTTTCTGAGCGCGGCCGCTATCCGAGCCGGTCGTCCAGGGCGTAGCAGGCGTGGCATATTCTCGTAACCTTAGGGGATCCGCAGGTGGTGGTCTCTGAGCGCGGCCGCTATCCGAGCCGGTCGTCCAGGGCGTAGCAGGCGTGGTATTTTCTCGACACCATAGGGGGTGCGCAGGGAACGGCCACCAACATCATTCTCACATGCTTCACTTCAGCTATCATCATTCCAGCCATGATATAAGTATGTGGGGTTCCTCGGTAGCGTAATGTTTGGGGGAGGGGGGGGTGACGCAAGGGAAGCAAAAAACTCGATTCTGGGGGAGGGAGGAGGAGGAGTGCGGGGAGGAGAGGAATGAGGAGAGCGGAACAACGCGGAGGAGGATGAGGAGTCCCTTCCCCCCAACAAAAACAAACAAACATACAAACAAAACACGGGATGCTGCTCCGCTTTTTTTTTGGGGGGGGAGGGGAGGTGCAGGAGAAGCAAAAAGCTCGATTCCGGTTGGAGGAGAAGGGTGAGGAGGAGGAGGAAGAAGAGAAGGAGGAGGAGGAGGAGGAGGAAGAGGAAGAGTATGAGAAGGGGAAGACAGAGAAGGAGGGAAAGGAGAAGGGGAACACACATTCCGAAAAGGCGAGGTGCTCCACAATCCCCCGTTCTCGAGGAGGAGGAGGAGGAGGAGGAGGAGGAGGGGGAGTCAGTCAGTCAGTCAGTCAGTTAGTCAGTCAGTCAGTCAGTCAGTCAGTCAATATGTTCCCTCTCCATCCGCAGCCACCGTTTTTAAGAGGTCCGCGGGCCGAGCACCCTTCGCGACAACGCGCTGCAGCCCCCCCCTGGAGGGTTTCTCCAAAGGGCTTAGGCGACCCGTCCTCCTCCTCCTCCTCCTCCTCCTCCTCCCTCCTCCTCCTCCTCCTCCTCCTCCTCCTCCTCCTCCTCCTCTGCCTCCTCCTCCTCCTCCCCTCCCCCTCCCGCTCCCCCTCCCCCTCCCCGCCCTCTCCCCTCCCCATTCCTCCTCACGTGGAGCGTGTGGGGCTCTCTTGGCGTCGCGAACCTCGTCCTCCTCCTCCTCTCCTCCTCCCCTCCTCTCCTCCTCCTCCTCCTCCTCTTCCTCTTCCTCTCTCCTCTCCCTCTCCCTCTCCCTCTCCTCTCCTTTTCCTCTCCTTTCCTCTCCCTTCCTCTCGCTCTCCTCTCCTCTCCTCTCCGTCTTCGCTCTCCTCTCCTCTCCTCTCCTCTCCTCTCTCTCCTCTCCTCTCCTCTCCTCTCCTCCTCCTCCTCATCCTCCGCCTCTCCTCCTCCTCCTCCTCCTCCTCCTCCTCCTCCTCCGTCCCCTCCTCCTCCTCCCCTCCTCCTACCTCCTCCTGCTCCCATTCATCGTCTCCCTCCTCCTCCTCCGAAGGGCTTAGGCGACCACGTCCTCCTCTCCTCCTCCTCCTCCTCCTCCTCCTCTCCTCCTCCTCCTCCTCCCTCTCCTCATCCTCCTCCTCCTCCTCCCCCTCCTCCTCCTCCTACTCCTCCTCCTCCTCCTCCTCCTCCTCCTCCTCCTCCTCCTCCTCCTCCTCCTCCTTCTCCTCCTCCTCGCTCCTCCCTCTGCTCCCCCGTCATCTTCTCCTCCTCCTCTCATCCTCCTCCTCCTCCCTCCGAAGGGCTTAGCACGCCGTGTCCTCCCCTCCTCCTCCTCCTCCCTCCTCCTCCTCCTCCTCCTCCTCCTCCTCCTCCTCCTCCTCCCTCCTCCTCACCCTCCTCCTCCTCCTCCTTCCTCCTCTCCCTCCTCTCCTCCTCCTCCTCCTCCTCTCCTCCTCCTCCTCCCTCCTCCTCCTCCTCCTCCTCCTCCTCCTCCTCCTCCCCCGGCTTCCCCTGTCCTCCTCCTCCTCCTCCTCCTCCTCCTCCTCCTCCTCCTCCTCCTCTTCCCTCCTCCTCCTACTCCTCTTCCCTCTTCACTCGGGTCGCCTACGGCCCCGGGGGGAAACCGTGCACCCCGTCCCCCCGAGCGGCGGCCCGCCAATGGCAGGCACGGCGTGCGCCGGCGCGCAGCTTCCCGGGTCGGCGCTGGCCTCTCGGCCGAGGGACCGCTCGGCTCCCAGGATCGGCAGGATGGGAAGCGGTACGGCAAGGATGGGTGCGAAGACCGACATCAGTTCCTGCTGCGGGCAAGACTTTTACCCAGGTCCACTGCGTCTTGGGGGTTCGGGCTGCCTTGCTCCGAAACCAGAGGCGCCGTGGATATGGACAGAACAGTTTCGCCCCTAGAGGTCAGATGTTTACCCATATCCACTGCGCCGCAGCCTGTTGGCGCCTCTTCCCAGAAAGTCCAAGACGCAGCGGATATGGATACAGATCGTGCCCACACCTGCTAATGGTTGAAAAGGGCTCGCTGTCGGTGTGGCCGCGGACGCTGTCCATATGAGACAGGAGGCTTCCTGCCCAACACTGGCCGCCGTCGGTTTTGCACCACATGTGCCGTTGGGTTCGGTAGCAAATCATGGGAGCCTTGTGTACCCTGGTCATTTTGTTTTCAGCGTCGATCAGCGTCTATTCGCATGTGGCCGATTTAGCGTCGGCTGGCGTCGATCTGGTTCGATTTGGCGTCGATCAGCGTCGATTTAGCGTCGACCAGCGCCGATTCGCAAGAGCGGACAAGATGTTGCGGGAGGCTCCCGTGAGCTGCCACCGGATATTGCCGCATCTCCTCTGGGAGCCCAGCAGGACGGCCTTCGGGCGCCCCCCGTGGCTCGAGCACGCCTGCGGCAGGCCGCTCCACAGCCACGGGGACGCCACGCCCGGCCTTGCCCGCGACCTCGGCCCCGGGCGTGTCCGCAGGCCTCCGGCGCTCCGCTCTCTGGGGCCAGCGCCGGTGACTCTCAGCGAGCTGCAGGAGCGTCGCCGCGGAGGCAGGGCTCCGTTCGCTTCCTCCGGCTCGATCGGATCCGATCTCGATTCCGATTCGACTCGGCTTCGACCGCCGATCTCCAGCGATTTGGTGCATCTCGATCGCCGATCCGACCCGTCGATCCGATTTGGGGCTCTCTTGCGGATGCTCCTGCCCAGCGTGGCCTGACAGGCTGGCTCGTGGGCGTGTCGTTCACTTCGTCCGAGCTGCCCCAGATGGAGCGGGACATCAGCAAGGAGTCTGGCGCCGCCGAGGTGTTCCTCGATCCGCCCAACCCCTACGGCTTCGCGAGGACCTGCTTCGGGGCCAGACTGGGTCCTCGAGTCGGTTTCAGCCCGCTTTCGCGCAAGCGCTGATGAGAGGAGGCGCCTTCGCGCAAGCGTTCGCTTCCACTTCCGCATCCGCGCATGCAGCCGCGGGCGGCCTGAGGGTGGTGAGCGACCTGACAGGGAAACAAACGATGTCATAACCATAGAAATGCGGACGTCCGTGCGGGTTCCTCGGATCGGCGCTGGGGTTCCCTTGCGGCGCCTCCGGCGCCGCCCCCGGCGCGCTCCGCCAGGGAGGAGGGCCCAGTGACGAGTTGAGAAATTTGCGCGGACCTCCGAGTGTTAATGTTTATGGCAGTCTTTGCCCCCCTACGAGAGGCGACATTCTCGCCAAGCTTTGCGAAGTGCATGTCGACGCCAGGCGTGACAATCAAAGCTACCAAGCTGACGAGTACCCAGACCTTGCAAAATTGACTCGAACAGCACAGTTTACTTTTCTGCTCCAGCCTTGCTGGGCCCCAGTGTTTTGCACTGGTTCTATCCCTCTCCATTCCTCCTTCCATTCCTCGCCCCCCCCGCCACTTCCTTCCCCCTGTCCCCCCCCTCTTCCTACGCACTCCACGAGCCTGTTGCGTGCGCGGCACGATTCGAGAATCCGCTCCAGCTTTGCTGGGCCCCAGTTCTTTGAACTGGTTTTTTCACGCTCCATCCCTCCTCCCAGTCCTCGCCTATGCGCGCGAAGGCGAGGGTATCGGCCCAGAGCCGTATGCTTCAGCATCGGCACTTCTTTTTCAAGACTCGAGTCTGTATTTCTCTCTGCGGTGTCGCATTTGCGCAGCGTCGGTTTTCATGCACTATTTTCTGCTCCGTTCGGGGCGCATGCCCCCGCGCCGGTAGCCTGAGGCTTCAAACTTCAAGTGTTCCTCTGGTTACGGAGCTTGCGGGACTCAGAGTGTTTTGCTTCACTCAGGATTGCGCTGTCTTATCAGACCAACGCTTCAATATCGTTATCATGTTAATTCCCCTCTGGTTTTCTCTGGGCCCCCCGCGCAGGAACATCGCCATCATCACCGTCATCATCCTCGCACGTGTTCTCAACCATCACCAGCATCAACATCAGCATCACCACCACCATCATCATCACCATCATCATCAGCATCATCATCAGCATCGTCATCATCATCATCATCATCAGCAGCAGCATCATCATCATTGCCAACATCACCCTCATCATCATCATCACCATCACCATCATCAACATCATCATCATCATCATCATCATCATCATCATCATCATCATCATCATCATCATCATCATCACCATCACCATCATCATCGAACGAACGAACGTCAGCCTTGCTCCGGACGGCGCGCGAGCAGGGTGAGACAGGAGATAATTGGTGCCGAAATGCAGCACTATTTACAGCTGGTGCCATTTCTTTTCTGCCGACTCCCATGAGGCCGCTGCTCTGCCGTCGCGGCAGAATAACGCAGACAAGGCCTCACGGGAGCCAGCCACGGACAGACAATCGCGCATGACCATGCTGCCCCAGTGGCTGCGTTCGCATGCGCCCACCGCACCCAGTTCGGCAGACCCCTCACACGCTTCGTGGCCCCACAGGGAGCTCCACCGAGAGCTCCTGTGGCTGCGTTCACATGCGCCCACCGCACCCATTCCGGCACACCCCTCACACGTTTCGTGGCCCCACAGGGAGCTCCACCGACGGACACAATGGTTGCGTTCGCATGCGCCCACCGCACCCATTTCGGCAGACCCCTCACACGTTTCGTGGCCCCATAGGGAGCTCCACCGAAGGCCCCAGTGGCTGCGTTCGCATGCGCCCACCGCACCCATTTCGGCAGACCCCTCACACGTTTCGTGGCCCCACAAGGAGCCCCACCGAGAGCTTCTGTGGCTGCGTTCACATGCGCCCACCGCACCCATTTCGGCACACCCCCCCTCACACGTTTCGTGGCCCCACAGGGAGCTCCCAGCGGCCTCTGCTCGCATGCGCCCACCGCACCCAGTTCGACACACCCCATGCACCGCACCCAGTTCGGCAGACCCCTCACACGTTTCGTGGCCCCACAGGGAGCTCCACCGAAGGCCCCAGCGGCCTCGGTTCGCATGCGCCCACCGCACCCATTTCGGCAGACCCCTCACACGTTTCGTGGCCCCACAGGGAGCTCCACCGAAGGCTCCAGTGGCTGCGTTCACATGCGCCCACCGCGCCCAGTTCGGCAGACCCCTCACACGTTTCGTGGCCCCACAGGGAGCTCCACCGAAGGCCCCAGTGGCTGCGTTCGCATGCGCCCACCGCACCAATTGCGGCAGATCCCTCACACGTTTCGTGGCCCCACAGGGAGCCCCACCGAAGGCCCCAGCGGCCTCGGTTCGCATGCGCCCACCGCACCCATTTCGGCAGACCCCTCACACGTTTCGTGGCCCCACAGGGAGCTCCACCGAAGGCTCCAGTGGCTGCGTTCACATGCGCCCACCGCGCCCAGTTCGGCAGACCCCTCACACGTTTCGTGGCCCCACAGGGAGCTCCACCGAAGGCCCCAGTGGCTGCGTTCGCATGCGCCCACCGCACCAATTGCGGCAGATCCCTCACACGTTTCGTGGCCCCACAGGGAGCCCCACCGAAGGCCCCAGCGGCCTCGGTTCGCATGCGCCCACCGCACCCATTTCGGCAGACCCCTCACACGTTTCGTGGCCCCACAGGGAGCTCCACCGAAGGCCCCAGTGGCTGCGTTCACATGCGCCCACCGCGCCCAGTTCGGCAGACCCCGAAGGCACCAGCGGCTGCGCTCCAATGCGCCCACAACACCAATGTCGGCACACCCCTTGCACGCTTCGTGGCCCCACAGGGAGCTCCACCGAAGGCCCCGGCACAGCCTTCATGCGTTTCGTGCCTTTTTAGGGATCGCTGCCGAAGAAGATATTCACATTTGCGGTACGCACAGCTGCATGTGGTTGGGTCCTTCGCCTGGATCATTGTTTTGTCCTGGGCCCCTTCATGGCCACTAGGGGGCCAGGAACAATGAGAAACGAGCACGAGTAGACACGAGCACGCTTAGAGAGGTGCGCGACGTGCACGGCCAGGAGCTTCGGCTTGGCGCGCCGCTCCGCCGCTCCTGGCCCACTGCGCCTCCGGAGCGGCACGCCGGCCACGCCCAGGGCCCCCCCGGGAGCGCCGACGCCCCGAGCCCTGCCCAGAGCCCGGGGCGCCCGCCCCGCGGAGCAGGGCGGCGCGCCGTGCGCCGGGCAAGGGGCAGCGCGTCGCCGGGGCCCCCGCCGCGACGCGCGCTCCACCTCCTCCTCCTCCTCCTCCAGCCTCCTCCTCCTCCTCCTCCTCCTTCTCCTCCTCCTCCTCCTCCTCCTCCTCCACCTCCTCCTCTTCCCCCTCCTCCTTCTCCTCCTCCTCCTCCTCCTCCTCTTCCTGGGAGGGAGGCGTTCGGCAGGGGGGGAAACACGCAGACAGGATCAATTGCCGGTTCCAAGGGAAATCTGGGACGAGATGGCAGGTGGGGGGAAGACGAGAGTCCAGAACATGGGGGCAGATATGGGGGAGTCCTGGGATTTGCGCGTGTGTGATTTTCTGTGTCCCCTGGGTCCCTCCCCCCTTCAGACATGCGGATCGGGAGAAGAGAGCCGTGCACATAGTCACCGATCCTGGCCAGGCCCACCATGGTCCCAGGATAGGTGGTACATGGCGCTCTGGCCAGGCCACGAGAGCGTGTGCACAGATCCTGGGCCCAGGATGGGCCTGGCCAGGATCGGTGTACAGGATCCGGCTTGAATAAGGAACGCTTACTTCCCAAAAGGGGCTCGGTCGTGCCTTTGGCTTGCATGCGTTCCGCTACCTTTCTGGCGGCGAGCCGCCCTGGTGCTCTTTCAGATTTTCGACGCGTGGGTCCGTTCCTTCGGACTCCGGAGGCTTACTTGAACAAAAAGGAGCTTCGTTCCTTCTTTATCGTTCCTTCCGTCAGGCCGGATACTGTACACCTTAGGCGAGGCTTTAGAAAACTTAAGTTTTCGGCCAGAGTCTCGATTATTCTTAACGTTTCAATGTAAATCTTGAGATTTTAATGGAAACGTTGGGTTTTTATTCAAGTTCTGAGACTATGAATTTCTTAACCCATGATTTCTTAAGCATTTCGCAGGGTGTATGTGCGTCGGCCTCTTCCCTCTCGCGGAGGGGCGGTGGCGACGAGAGGCCCTCGCGCGCGCCGCGGGGGAAGTGGCGGCGCGAGGCGGCCCGCGGGCGGCGCGCACGGTGCGCGGGCGCGCATCCGCGCAGAGCGGGTGCGGGTGCCAAGTTCAGCGATGGATGGTGTTGGCGTTGTCTGGTGGCCGCTCCCCCTCGCCTTCCTTTCAATCTTTCTACACATCTACATGATAGACAGATGCAGCTCATTGGCATATACCCATGTATATGCATGCACATGTGTTTTATCTCTCTCACTCTCTCTTTCTCTCTCTCTCTCTCTCTCTTTCTCTCTCTCTCTCTCTCTCTCTATATATATATATATACACATACATATCCCTATTCTCATCGGTTTATTACCCGGACCCACACACACACCTTAAACTGGACCCCGTCCCAGGGACGCCTTGGGCGCCCTTTCGGACGTCTCGGCGGCCCCCTGGACACCTTTGGAAAAGGTCCGCGGGCCCTTCCGGGCCTCCCAGGGCGCCTTGCCAGGCCTTGCGAGCAGACTCAAGGCGATCAGAGGGGTCATCGGAGAGGCGGAAGAGAGACTCAAGACAGCACAAGAGCGTTCCAAGAGGAACCTCGATGGTCTGAAGATGGCCCAAGGGGCCCCCAAGTCGCCCCAAGAGGCCTTTAAGACAGCCCCGAAGAAGCAAAAATCGCCCCATTCCTTCAGGAATGTGTGCATGTTTAACATATCCGCTTTTTGGGTCTTCGAAGCGTTCAAGACGGCCCGAGGGGCCCCCGACATCGCCCCAAAACGGCCCAAGAGGCCCCCCAGAGGGTTTGCAGACGGCCCAAGAGGGCCCCAAGACTGCCCCACAGAGCCCCGAGACTGCCCACAAGAAGCCCAAGATGCCCCCAGAAGGCTCCCAAGAGGGCCCCACGAAAGCCATGGGAGACCCCCAAGAAGGCCATTGAAGGCCCGCAAGAGGGCCCTAGATGGCTTCAGAAGACCTCTGGAGGGCCCCAGCTCCCCAAGACGGCCCAAGAAGGCCCCAGGACAGCCCAAGAGGGCCCCAGGACGGCCCGAAAGAGCCCCAAAAACACCCAGACGGCGTTCTCCTACGAAGCACATCGAGCTGACCCGACGATCTTGGTTCCACATTTGAGGCTCGAGGTTTAAATTCTTCGATCGGGAGAGACAGGCAATGGATCTAGGTTCGAAGTGCGACGATCGAAGATTTCCTGAGGCCTGGAGCCCTCCAGGCAGTCAGGAAGCAACTGAACATCGATTGTTCGGAGCTACTGCGACTTCTTCGGCGTGTCATGGGAACGCTCCTTACTTCCTCGAAGGATGGACCCACGACCGGAGGAGGCGGAAGAAGAGGAAAGGAGGAGGCAGGGTAGGGATAAACCTTGGAGGCGGCTGATCAAAAAACCAGGCGCAATGTTTCTATTTACCTTCTCCCATGAGGAGCAGTGTTGAAGCAAGCGATGATGCATTGCTTTGCCAGGGAAGCGTCCAGAACAAGGCGCATTGCGCGAAGCGCCAATGCAGTCTTGTATATATATATATGTATGTATAAGTATGTATCTCTCTCTCTCTTACGCTCTCTGTAGTTGCCTCTCTCTATGTATATAGACATGTATATAGCTCTATTTCCTTCCCTCTCTTCAGGTAATTGATCAATATACACACGATGTGTGTGGAAGTACATATGTGAATGCCGATGGCGAAGTGTGCGTATAAAAGCATGTTTAGGTATCTCGTGTCCTTCCTCGCTGCCTCCTTTGTTTGCGTGTGTCGGTATCCCTTCCTCTCCTTGTTTTTTTAAGTATAGATGTGTGTCTAGTAATACTTCCATCCATCCATCCATCCATCCATCCATCCATCCCACCAACCATACATCCATGTGTCCATCGTTCTCTCTCTCTCTCTCCCGATCTCTCCTTGTCTGCCGCGTCATGGTTTCTTCTTCATGGGATTCCAATCGCGTCTACAGCCCGGGCGTCGCTCGACCAGCCCAGTGTGAGGGCTTCCGGTGCCCGCTGAGAACATGTGCGCGCATCCATCTCCCTCCCGACTGGATCTCTCTACCAGGACGCGGGACACATGGACACACGCATACGCACGACGTGGTCGGCATGGGCGAGAGCAGGACACACATGCATGTGGCTGTACGTCTTTCCACCGCCCAGGTACCTCGGCCCTCGCATGTGTATCCAGCTCGTGGCCTACCCATGTTCTCAGAGATCCGATGTCGTGATTTGTTCAATGCTGGGACCCCGGAAGTCCCGACCCTTTCCCTGGGACCGGTTGTTCGTCCTGAGTCGTTGTTTAACAGTCCTGGGACCCGGCGAGGGCCCCCAGAAGCCGAAGATTGCGAAAAATGTCCGCCTTGTTTTTTTCCATGCGCTGGATCTCTGGGTTCTGCGTCTTGCTCTAGCCGTGTTTGCTTCCAGCTTCCGGGTATGGCCCCGCTCTCTCCTGGGGCATGCTGCGCCTGCCGCGCAGGCCAGGGCGGCGGAGGAGGCGCTGCGGGCACGGCTGGCCAGACTGGAGGACGAGGGGGCGGAGCTGCAGCTGCAGGCCACTGCCTTGTCCGAGGCCCGCACGTCTCTTGAAGGAGGGGAGGGGAGGGGGATGATCGGACGGGGCTAGCACGAGGATCGATCCGTTTCAGAGCGTCTTGAAGGGAGGAGGGAGGGAAGAGGAGACGGGAAACGGTGTGGAGGAGGAGGAGGAGGAGGAGGAGGAGGAAGAGCGGAGGGCGAGGAGGAGGAGGAGGAGGGGAGGGAGGGGAGGAAGAGGAAAAGGGGAGGAAGCTAGGAAGGGGCGAGGAGGAGGAGGAGGAAGAGGAGGAGAGGGAGGGTAGGACGAGCTGGCGGAGCGTCCGCGGCAGGCCACTTTGAAGCGCCCAGGGCTCGCCTTCTGCTGCCCTCGCACTCTCGCGGCATCTGCCCACGCCTGCTCTTCGACTGGATCGGCAGAGATCGAGGGGCGGGGGCAGGCGACGACGAAGGGGAAACGAGGACGACTAGCGGGGAAGGGGGGGGCGACGAGACGACGCTGCAACAAAAATCGGAGCAGGCGGTTCTGGAGTGGTTTCGGCCTCCAGGGGAGCCCTCGCCGGGGGCCTCGGGACAGTGAACAAAACGACTCAGGGCGAAACCGGCCTTTGTCGGCAACGCGCAGAGGGGGGTAGGGGAAGGGGGGAAGGCTTCTTAGGAGCACCCCTTCTTCTTAGGAGACGCCGGCCTTCTCTACAGATGGAAGGCCCGCGCCTTCTAAGAAGCAGCCTCCTTCTAAGAAGCCTTCCCCCCTCCCCCTACCCCCCTGTGCGCGCCGCCAACTGAGGGAAGTGGTCCAGACCTCTGGGGCCCACGCATCCAAGAAATTGAAGCAGCCGGAGGTCTGGGAGGGTCGCTGCGTGGCGCGCTGCGGAGAGGGCCTCGCGCTTCGTTTGCGGCTCGTCTTCGGCGGGAAGGCCGGCGGGAGTTAGAGCCGAGGCAGCGCAGCCGTCGGAAGCGGGCGGAAGGCGGCGGAGGTACCCATCGGTCGTTGAAAAAATGAGTTGTTGGATTCCCAGATCCCAATCTAATTGAGCCGCCTTCCTACTTCAACGATCGAGTGGTGTTCCTCTTCATGAGGCGGGCGGAGACCCAATCTACTCCCAACGACTTCCTACTTAAGGGTTCTATCTGCCTACTTCTTCCGACCGCAGAGTCGGCCACGAATGCGCACGGTCGGGCCGAGGCATAAGATCGAGGTCGGGTCGAGGAGGGTACCCCAATGCTCTTCGGGTCCGTTGGGCGCGCTTGTGCATCCTGGAGAGATGCCCTCGAAGGTGCTGCAGTTTGGCCGACGGAGGGTCTCGTGTTCTTGAGGGATGCTATTCTGTCCTGGGTCCGGCCGTAATTCTGTCCGTGCCGTTTGTGCGTGCATCCCGACTGGATTCATCTCGGATCTTCCCTTCCTCGCCCAGCTGTGCCGGGCGCTCAGGCCAAGGCGGTGGAGGATGCCTTGCGGGCGCAGCTGGGCAGGCTGGAGGGCGAGAAGGACGAACTCCAGAAGCAGGCCGATGCTCTGGGCGAGGCTCGCCCGGACGGAGAGTGAACAGGAGGAGCAGGAGCAGCACTGGGAGGAGGGAGAATGATGAGGAGGCCAGAGGACGAGGAGGAGTGGGGTTGGGAAGCAGCAGCAGCAGCAGCAGCAGCAGCAGCAGCAAGAGGAGGAGGAGGAGGAGGAGGAGGAGGAGGAGGAGGAGGAGAAGGAGTCCGAGCTGGAGCAGCTGAGCAGCAGGAGACAGAGGAGCAGGAGCAGGCACGCCGCAGGACGTGCGAAAACGGGAGGGCGAGCTGGAGTCAAGTCAGCCAGTGCCAGGTCGAACGGGCCAGCGGGCCCCGCCCCCGCCCCCGCACTTCCCCCCCCCCCCTCCTCCTCCTCCTCCTCACTCTCCCTGCTCCCTTCTCGCTCCTCCTCCTTCTCCTCCTCCTCCTCCTCCTTTTCCCCTTCGCTCTCCCAGCTCCCTCCTCGCTCCTCCCTCCCTCCCTCCCAGTCCTCTCCTGCCTCCCCTCCTGCTCGGGAAACCAGCTGCGGTAGGTTCGTGCGGCGTCCGTTGCGGCTGCGTCGTGGCACAGCTTGGCACGGGACCGGAGCGTGCTCCCACCCGGAAACGACGCAGCAGAGGCGGGGCTGCATGCGCCGACGTTGGCGCGCAAGCTGCCCGCGTGAGGCCACGCGCAGGCGCCGTCGTCTCCAGCGTGGCCTGCCGCGCGGGCGGCTCGCGCAAGTCGCCGCGTGAGGGCGCGGTGCCATCTCGCGCAAGGCCCGTTTCTTGTCGTCGCTCAGCTGGCGAACGGAAGGCGTTCGCGCGGGGTCCCGCTCCCGACGACCTGGAGACGGGGAACAAAAACAAAACAATACCTGGTGACGTCTCCAACCTTTTCTAAACATATGGCGAATCTGCATATTTATATGTGCACATGCATGTGTAAACATACATACATGTATACATACATATGTATCTATATATATGTATATATATATATATATGTGTATATATGTGTGTATGACCCCTCACTGCAAGCAAGCATGCTGAAGGACACGCAGTGCGCATGAGCTCCCAGAAGTAGGCAAGAGAGCACGCAGGAATAAGCAAGATGGAGACGGAGGCACGCGCATACAGAGGGGTGTGAAGGAGGGCCCTACATGTTCAGTAGAAGCAGCATCGCCGAGCGCTACATACGCCGCAGAGAACAGCGCCATGCGCGCGCTCTACAGCAGAACGGCGCGTCGCGCCGAGCGAGGCAAGCGCGCGGGGCGGCATGGCGGGCCAGAGACAGCCGAGCATAGGAGGCCACGCGGACAGAAAACAGCACCACGCGCTACGTGGCGCAGCGGCTCCTTGCGAGCCGTGAGGCGATAGCGCCGAGCGCCGCGTGATGGGACAGCGCCGCGCGCAATGGGAACCCTTCCCATTTTGGATGCGAGAACTTGTCGTCAGCTGCATTTCTCCTCGTGACCTCTCAGGAGCCCACGAAAGTGGCGACAGTTGTGCAATTCGCAGCCCACCAGGGACCCGCGAGGTCCCAACTGGGTCTGCGTACCGCTACAGTCCGGTGATTCTCCCAGGAGCCCGAGAAAGTGGAGACAGTTGCCACGCAGGGAGCCCCGCCCCGAGGTCCCAACTGGGTCTGCGTACAACTCCACTGCGCGCGACCTCCCAGGAGCCCACGAAAGTGGCGACAGTTGCGCAATTCGCAGCCCCCAAGGGAGCCGCGAGGTGCCAACTGGACCCCGTACAACTTGACTCCGCTGAACCTCCCAGGAGCCCAAGAAAGTGGAGACAGTTGCACAATTCGCAGCCTCGCAGGGAGCCCCGAGGCCCCAACTGGGTCTGCGTACCACTCTACTGCGCGCGACCTCCCAGGAGCCCACGAAAGTAACGACAGTTGCGCAATTCGCAGCCCCGAGGTCCAAACTGGATCTACGTACCACTCCACTCCGCTCGACCTCCCAGGAGCCCGCGAAAGTGGCGACAGTTGCGCAATTCGCAGCCACGCAGGGAGCCGCGAGGTTCCAACTGCGCGACCTCCCAGAAACCCACGGTTGTGCACGTCGCAGCCACGCAGGGAGCCCCGAGGCCACAATTTGGTATGCGTACCATTCCACTCCGCTGGATCTCCCAGGTGCCCACGCAAATACGGAGAGTTTCGCAATTCGCAGCCCCCCAGATAGCCGCGAGGTCCCAACGGGATCTGCGTAACGCTCCATCTCGGTAGACCTCCCAGGAGCCCACGAAAGTAACGAGAGTTGCACAATTCGCAGCCCCCCAAAGAACCGCTAGGTCCCAACTGGGTCTGCGTACCACTCCACTCCGAGCGACCTCCCAGGACCCCACAGAAGTGGCGACAGTTGCGCACTTCGCAGCCACGCAGGGAGCCGCGAGGTCCCAACAGGGTCTGCGACCCACTCCACTCCGAGCGACCTCCCAGGACCCCACAGAAGTGGTGACAGTTGCGCACGTCGCAGACACGCAGGGCTCCGCGAGGCCCCATTTGGGTCTGCGTACCACTCCATTCCGCTGGACCTGCCAGGAGCCCGCGAAAGTTGGGACAGTTGCGCACGTCGCAGCAACGCAGGGAGCCGCGAGGACTCCACTGCACGCGACCTCCCAGGAGCCCACGGAAGTGGCGACAGTTGCGCACGTCCTAGCCACGCAGGGAGCCGCGAGGTCCCAACTGGGTCTGCGTAGCACTCCAGTTCGCGCGACCTCCCAGGTCCGCATTTCGCAGCCCCCCCAGGGAACAGCGAGGTCCTCCCTCCCAGGAGCACACGAGAGAGGCAGAGTCACAACGCTGCTGCAACGCATGCCGGACGCAGGAGAGAGAAACAAAAAGGAGGAAGAGAAGGAAGAGGAGACAGGAGGCATGGAAGAGGAGGCAGGACGCAGAAGAGGGAGGAGGACGGAAGAGTGGAGACCACAGCGCTCCAGTCAAGACAAGTGCCCCGTACAGGAGGCCTGGGAGAAACACCCAGGCCGCGCACTGGCGGGAGCGGAAGCCCAACGCCCCGCCGCAGCAGCAGCCAGGCGGGAATGTGCGCGTGCCCGGTGGGCGCTGGGCTAACGGGCCTCCCGTTGGACCGCCATGGCAGCGCGCCCCCAAACCGCCCCAGGCCGGGGGAGCTGGGGGCAAGGGCGGCGGAGGCCAGCAGCCCCAGGGTTACTCACTCTCCGAGGGCGAGCTGCAGCTCTACGTCGGGATGGAGCCCGCCCTGTGGGAGGCGACCAAGGTCCCGCTCTCGCGGAGCTCCCGGGACAAGGTCGAGCACCTCCGTCGGGTCAAGGCTTCGGGGCTGGAGCTGGTCACCGACGGCACCAGCGCCTCCAAGCTCGTGGACAAGCTCGCCAGACGGGTCTTCGATGCCCAGGCGCAGCTCACCCGACCCGTTTGATGCGTTCATGGGCAGTGATGACCCTGGCGGCCTGGTGTCTTCCTCTGGCGAGGCCGGCAGCGAGGAGCGCAAGCGCATGGCAGAGGCGCTGGCCCTCCTACGGGACGCCGTCAAGCGGCGCAAGGTCCAGCCCAACGTTTAGCCGCCAGCGCAGGCGGACTTGGCGTGGGCTGACCCTCAACACGAACGCGTACTCTACATTCGTAGGCTTGCTCGGGCGGCCGGAGCTCCGCACCTGCGATTTCGTGGGCGTCCAGGAGACTCACCAGACGGGCGAGCAGGCCCGAGACTCAGCCGCTCAGTTGGTCAAGCTGGGCTGGCACGCCCATGCGCTAGCCGCCAGCGGCGCCAGCCATGGACACCCCGGCCACGGCGGGCTGCTGCAGCTCGCGCCGCGGCAGCATGGGCTCGCGCCCTTCGAGCACCTGGGCGTCGACTCGGGCATGCTTGTCGAGGGACGCATCGGCTTCGTTCACCACGGCGGCCTGGTACCAGGCGGCTTCGCGTGGTTTAACGTGTACCTGTACACGGGCGAGGGCCTGTCGGCCGCCAACCTGGAGTCAACCTGAGCCCGGCGGACCTGGCCTCCAGCGACTTCCTCGCGAAGACGCGGGCGTCCGTCATCGCACCATGCGTCGGCACCTGCCGACCTGCCGAGAGCACGTGCGACTACTTCGTAGTATCGTCGTATTTCGCCCATGCACGGGCCACCACCCTGATGGATTGGCCCTTCTATCCACATCGGCCCGTTCTCCTCGAGATCGACTGCACCGACGGCCCCACGACCGTCCAGGTTATGACCACGCCCAAGAAGCTCCCGAGGCCGCTGCCCCTCGGATGCTGTAGCCGCGACCACACGGCCGCCTGGGTAAACACCCGCGACGCCATTGCCGAGGCCAGCATCACCGACGAGGCATGGCAGGCATTTATCACCATGGCTGAGACCAATATTTTGGACAAGTGCGGCCTGGCCTACGACGCCTCCTACGCGGGTCGCGCCCAACGGCCGCGCCTGCGCCAGGCTGCTGCGGCCACGCCGTCGCCGCCCAGACTGCCCAAGGTATCCACGGCCACGTCCTGGATCAAGTCCTGGTCCTTGGCAGCGCGCGACGCTTGCCACTGGGGCAAACCGATGGTTCGCCTGCGCGGCTTGCGAGCCTTGGGCCGCCTCCAGAGGCAGGCCTCGGTCCCTTCGAGTTGGTGCCAGACCCTGCAGTCACTGGGGGCGGCCTTCGCTTTCTTGACGCCTACGGTCGCCGAGGCCTGCAGCGCCGTCAGCACCAAGTTGGCCGACCTGGGAGTCCAGAGCGACCTGCGCGACGTGAGGCAGCGCTTCGGCCAGTGGGTCGACGAGCACGCTGCGTCCGGCTCTGGGGCCCTGCACGCTTTCACCAAGGTCCCGCTCGGCTGGCAGCCGAGCGCCGCCCTCGCCGGCACTGCCGGCAAACCTGGGGTAGTGGGGCCCTCGACCCCGCGTTTGCCGGGCGCTGCCTCCGCCAGCGCCGCCGGGCCCGCGGGCCTTTCCAGGGCGGTCGAGGCGCTCGTCCAGGAGTGGTCGCTCTACTGGAACGTCGGCAAGCCCCACGAGGCCCCCGTCTGGCCCGACGACTTGGGGCCTAGGCCCGCGCGGCCCTCGG